CCAAAGAAGGGCACAATAAATTTGGTATGAAATTTCTCTAGTTAAAAAAAAAAAAAAAACCTGACTCTGCTGAGGACACACATACAGAAGCACTGGCTTGGCCAATATTTTACTGTTTTAAAGAGTTAATTGTGTTAACAAACTTAAACTAGTTTGGTTATATATATATATATATATATATATATATATATATATATATATATATGTAAGTGGTTATTGATTCTATCCTCTGGCAAAAAGTCCATAATTGTCAGTTCTCATGATTTGGATATCTGCTCAAGCAGTTTTCTGCTTGGTGTTTTGTTTTGTTGTTGTTGTTTTTTTAACAATTGACTTTGACCCAGACCAAAGGTCTGTGACCCAGTTTAAACAAGAGAGGTAATGCAGTTTCTCTTTGATGGCTGCCTAGCTTCATTTTAGAAGTGGCTCAACTAATGTCAATTTTTCACAGAACTTTTAGAACTATTTTGGCTGAAACTAACCAAAAGCATATACCAGCAAAAAAAACAACAAAAACAAACCTTAGGCTTAGTAAAAAATACACTGGTTGCAGGAACTGCCGAGTGGCGCAGCAGGTTGAACACAGCACTGTGAAGCTGTCCGCAGCCTCTGCAGCGCAGGTTCAATTCCCTCCTGGCCAGCCAGGGAGAAATCCACACAGTGTGGCAGATGCCTCTCACGAGCCCGCTGCTCCCCTCGGCAGTGTTTTCAGTCTGTCTGCCTGTTCTGCTCCCCGCTCTGTCTCTGGTGAATCCTCTCACCTTCCCGTGCCTCTGGCCTATACCCCAGTTCTTGTATAAAAATAAATAAATCTTAAAAAAAAATACACTGGGTGCAGGAGGGAACAGTGGGGAGGAAGGAGTAACTAGGGAAGGAAGGGGATTTGGCATTAGCATGGGAGGTTTGGTGGAGAGTGACTAAAGCATGTAAAATTATGGTGGAGTAAAAATGTAATCCCAAAGTTAAATAAACATATATATAATAAATTTAATGAAACATTGATCTACTATAAAAAAACACTACATTTAGAAGACATTGTACCTACCTGAAGAATGAATAAATGATTTCACCAGACACCGACATGTATGAATAGTCTTTCTCTAATGTGTTTGACATACACTTACTCAGAGAAAATTGTATACACAGCACAGTGCAAATCACTCAGGCTTAGATGGGCTAGCAGCTCATTCTGGAACTCACCAAACAGTGAAGGGGAAGGACACGTAAACAGATAAATTATAAATCAGCCCAATAACAATGGTATGGTTTACTGAAAATGTAAAATATACCAGGCAATGTGCTAAATCTTTTAGAACAATCATTACAATGGCCCTGTAAGGAAAGGACTGTTGCTTCCACAATATAACTGAGATTAGGAGAATGTGTAAAACTTGCTCAAGGCTTCACAACCAAGGAGAGGCATAACAGAGCTGATAGATCCTATTAGGTGAATATGAAGCAAATGCTATAGGAGAGACTAGGATAATAATGAAAGCCTATAGGAGTCTAGGACAGCATCTATTTTATACCTGGTGGGTGTAAAATTTGAGCTATTTCTTATAGAAAGAATATGAGATTTTCTAGGTATTGGAGGCAGATAAGGGGAATGTTTCCATCTAATAAGATTTTTAGGGAGTGTTGCCTTCTGGCTTTCATTTGATCCTTTCTAACATGTGATGGTGGGACAACATGACTTCTAAGGTTTTAGGAGTTCTATAATTTTATGATGCTATATCTATTTATATAGAAATAAGAGACTTCTGGGCAAATGCTAAACACTGCATTCTTCTGTCAAAATAATACTGATTCTCCAGGAAAATGGAAAGATTTATTCTATGCTGGGCAGTATTAAAACATTTTATTTCTTCCAAAGATAACTATATAAATAGAATTTTTCCCCACTTTAGAGGAGGGTAGAGGAAAAGTTTGATAATAACATATGGGGGAGAACCTATCCAATTATGGTGGTTGGTAGTTCGGTATTCTATATTCCATAAATCCCAAAACTTCAGTTTGGGGGCTCCCTTTTTTTTTTCATTTCTCTCCAAATATTCTCTAACTACTCTGGGAAATGTTCTAGACTTAGATGATTTCCCTGCACTCACATGGGAAGTGATAGGGTATTCATAGGCCAGAAGTTGAAACTAGTGCTGGTGGTGAGAGCCACTTATAGTCCTAGAGAAAAACCAATGGCAGTGGGAAGACTGAAAAAATAAACAAATAAAAAGAGTCAGATTTACATCCCCTTCAACCTTGACATTTCCCTTATGGAATATTGAGTGAAGGAATCAGGATAAATTTGTTAGGAAGTTTTCCCAAAAGATTTACTAAATCAACAAATTCTCTATTATAATGACCTATGTAATATCCCCTCAATAAGCAATATATACTATTTTTGAAATGATGTTCTGCATATATTTGCTTTGATTATAAAAATGAAAAAAAAAATAATTCCAAAATTCTAATACTGAACTTTTATTTCTAAAGGTAAATGAGTTTGCCAGCATATTTTATTGCTCAAGGAAAGTTGAAAGTCCACCATTCAGCTTTTAGGGAGAGATTGAGAGAAAGGATTACAATTATAAAAATTAGCCTGCTAAATGAGAGTTTTCAGGACCTAAGAAACTGGAAACCTTGGTACAGACAAATTGAAGTTATGCATGTGACTATTTTTTTTTTTTTGCTTTTTATTCATGTAAATACTTCTGCTGATATACATAGTATATTCATACATCTGTTTTTTAGTATCTGTAATAATTAGAATCACATATATATCATGGTAATTAAAAGTGCACAAGTAGGGCCACCCCGGTGGTGCAGCAGTTGAGCGCTGGGTTGTGAGGCTGCCCACAGCCTCTGCAGGGCCGGTTCCATCCCCGGCTACCGGGCGAGGGTCCAACATGGCGCGCAGACCTCTCCTGCCACCCGCTGCTCCCCTCAGCAGTGTACTTCATCAGTCTGCCTGCTCTGCTCTCCCCTCTGACTCTGGTGAATTCTCTCACCCTCCCGCGCTTCTGACTGTACCCAGTGCTTGTATGAATAAATAAATAAATCTTAAAAAAAAAAAAAAGTGCACAAGTAGAAGAGAACTATGTTCATAATTATTACAAGAATCAAAGGGACTTTCTTAGGCATGTGAAAGTGATGCCTTGTTATAGAACTGAAATGTGCATTAGGAATTCATGTCTTTGAGAATGGTATTTGAAGTCAAATACATGAACAGCTTTCATAATAGAAAGAAATGCTAATGAGGCTTACATATTGGAGAAGTAGACAAACACAGTATCAGAATTTTTTTTTTTTTTTTTTTGCTTTTCTCTATAAATATTTTGTAACTACTCTGGGAAATGTTTTAGACTTGAATGGTTTTCCTGCACTCACATGGGACATGCCAGGGTATTTATAGACCAGAAGTTGAACTCAGTGTTGGTAGTAAGAGCCACTTATAGTCCCAGAGAAAACTAAGGAAAATGAGAAGAATAAAAAAAAAAGATAAAAATTGACAAGTTGTTCATCAAGGCAGAGGGACTGTTTTAAAATCCCAGCTCGGTGATTTACACCTTTTATAAGTTGGACAAGATAGATCTACTGTATGCTGTAGACTAGTCATTTCTCAACTGGATGTTTATGAAAGTATCTAAATGATTATTTAGTACATCACAAATAAAATGATAACCACATTAGCAAAGACCATTAGATTTGGCAAGGAGCGAGTCATTGAAAGTTTAGCAATTCATTTACCATAGTCAGAATTTTTGTTAAATAAGCATTCTGCCAAACTGACATGTTAACTATATGGATAGATGTGACTCTGTGCTTCGATCTGTAATTGTGTAATAGATTGCTTACATGGGTGTCTAATCTCTTAGCTAGTGATAAAAGTTAAAATGATGTTAATACTTATATAAATGTTCCTGAATACTATTTGTAAAGTCAAAAAAAAATTAAGAGTATCACCCACATGTTTTTGTATCAAGTAAAGAAGTAGCAGAAACAAAGTAGAAATAAGCACTTGAATTCATTTTAAGATGCTTTGGTGTTACTATTGTTATGTAACAAGTAACATAGTGTCTTAATTTGGTTTTGAAATAGTATAATTTATACCAGCAAAGAAACTTGAAACACATTTAGCCTATAAATTTATATATATGTATATCTATATATACACATATGTATGTGTACCATTATGTATGGCACCATTATGTATGGAACAAAATCATCTGAGAATAAAGTAGGGACATAGTATGAGGACAAAGCAATAATTGCCTGTCCAATTTTAGAATGATATAGGTTTAGCTATTTGATGCTGACAGATAAGATTGACAATCAAAAAGCACATCTCTAAAAAGGTCCAGCACATTTTGGAATACCCATTACCAGAATAATAAGAGTGGAGAGATTCCTTTTATGAATTTCCTATGACCTTTCCCTTTAATTCAAGAATGGTCTAATTTATACAATCAATGTTATTTGCTAAAACTACATTGCAAAGAATATAATATTCAGTCATTGTGTTCTAAAAGGCTATATTGTTCTCTGCTTACCAAGATATTCAAAATTAACTTACATTTCCTGAGAATGGGAAACTGGGAAGTTAAAAGCAATATTTCTTCCAGTCAACCTGAGCTGATTGAAACAAAAAAGATCTGAAAGTACTACTTAGCAGAGTATTTCCATTCATTTTTATAAAATTTGTAAACTTTCTAGAGAAAATAATTACATAACTGAAGACCTAGACAATCTTCTAATATAATCTTAAAATAATTGTCTTTATTGAATTGGACTGTGTGTATGTGTTTTCATCCAATTAACAGAATTTGTAATTTGAATTAAGTCTCTTTTATATCAAATGTATCCTCTAAATCTATTATCATGACCTATTTTACCATTCATCTATGAAAATATCCATCTTTGGAAGTATTCATGATAGTTAACAAAGAGTTTGTAGATAAATGAAGTGAGGATTTGAACCCATAAGCACCCTGAAAGATTTTACTCTGTCAGAGCTGTTTCAATAAACACAAATTTGAATTTAGTTTACATAGGTAGTGACAGTTGGTCATTAGCTTGAAGAATGATATTGATTAGGAGCTTCTGATTCTAAGTTGTCCTGACCTAAGTATGTGTTGATGATAGAGGAAGGCAATGCAGGATTTAACTTTCATCTTGCTTACGTCAACACTGAAGAGATGCAAATATTGGGCATGCATTGTTAAATATATATATTTGTGTCTGTAAAGATTGACTTTACATTCAGTCAACTGATTCCTGTATCCAGGATGGAGCCTGCAAAGATGACATTTCTTTTTTCTGTCACTTCTAAACAAGGGATACATTCCTCAGAAAATTTTACAATGTACTTACACAATGGGAAATATTCAATTTCTACAAATTGAAACAGATATAAATATGTTTATGCATATATATAGTTATACTGTTGATTTGTCAACAAGGTTGACAAATGAGAACCTTAAAAACTTTTCTTAACTTTAGACTTCTTCCCTTTTAATTTCTCCACAATATTAGGGTATTTTTTACTCCTGAATTTTGGAATTAATTAAAGTAAAAATATGAAAAAGTAATGCATTTATTCATATTTAGTGGGAAAGAACACAGAAAATTGGCAACATAGACCAAAAATCAGAAAAGCAGAGTCAACCATAGATACCGGTAAATGCTGTGATGGGTAAAGTGTTCCTAACTTCTACTGTGTCCAGGCTATTGCTAAGTGAAATTAATTCCATCTCCCACTTTTATCTTTTTTCCTGTCAAATTTAGAATGTTTCCTGCCAGTTATGATTAAGATTTGCTTAGAAAAGAGATGCTGGGACATAAGAATACAAGGCAGTTAAAACCCATTGTGTAAGCATGGCTTAGAGAGGTTGTATGCAAATGCACCCTGCACAACATTTCTCAGAGCAAGCTTGTTTTATTTAATTTATTTAATTTATTTTTTTAGGTTCAGCATCAGATTTATTTGTACAAATAGCACAGGATGACACAAGTGCCCTGTAGTCAGCAACCTAGGGGTGACACCAGTCCTTCTGTCTTCACACGGGCAGACAGTATTCTCTATTCTTAAGCCTTTGTGGGGCCTGGGCACCTTAGACAGCCTGTGTACATTTGGCAGCCTGTGTCCTTTGGGGACCTGTGCTGCAGCCGCATCTTTGGCCTGGATTTGAGCCTTGCCCTTTGGCCAGGAGAACCTAAGGCCCTTGGCAATGTGGGCACTTGCATGTTTCCCAAGCTGATGAGCAATGTAGGCAAGTCGGCTCAGCTTGCAACTGCTGCCTTTTGGGATGTTGGCCCTGACCATGTTGGTCTTTACAAGGGCCTTGAGAGCTTCAGCATGTGCACTGATGGCCGTGGCATTGTTGGCCTGCATCATCTTCAGGCTCTTCTTGTTATGCTTCTTGGCAAAGCTCATGTTCCTTAGGAACTTGGGATCCACCCCCTTAGGAGATTTGTGTCTTTTGCATCGGGGTTTCTTGATGCCATTTCTGTGCCGTTTTGGGGATTGGTTGTGTGTGGTGTGGTTCTTGGATTTGGCCATGTCTACACCAAGGCCCATGGCTCCCTGGGCGCCTTGAGCTGGAAGAGAGCAAGCTTGTTTTAAACAAATATTTTGGTCTTGCCCATCGGGGTGTCTGACTCTGTGGATCTGGGGAAAAGCCTGGGAAATGACATTTTAATCATGCATCCCAAGCTGTTTCTGATTCAGGTTGTGTTTACATCACCTTTGGGGAAATATTTTTGATAGAATGAACAAGAGCATTATTTTTATATGAAAAACAGAGTTCTGGGAGAAAATGAGGAATGTAAAAAATGTAAAAAAGGTGCAGAAATCAAGGGAAAACATAAGACACCCTTGTATTAAAATATTAAGTTACTTTTAATCTTTAAGAGTTTTCTATGACTTATTATTATCTATATCTCAGAGTAAAAAACTGATATTAAAATATTTTAATGACATCCATACACAGCCAACATGCTAAGCCTCGAAGTTCATATTATTTCCACTATATCTGGTGTAGTTGAGGAGATGAGTCATACAGAGAAAAAATAAATTAAGTAACAACTCAGACAATGACTTAACAGTTTAATTGTTTCCCATAAAGTCAAGTACTGTTTATATACTGAGGACTAAGAAAGAAAGAAGAAAACACATGCCAGTAATCTCCCTCTCCCTGCCCCACACACCAAATCATGTTCACAAGAAAGAAATTAATGGCAACATATTTGTTTACAATCTTAATTATATCATTAAAGCTCCCAAATAGTTTCCTAAATCTAATACTGTTCTGCTTAACACTTTGTGTATACATATTTACTAAATTCAACTACTTAAGATAGTGCTCACATTGATCTTTGGAACATTTTGTAGAAAAGCCATTTTTATTTTGAATGAAGCTTTGATATCTGTTCACATGGTAAGGAACTTTAAATCAGCCAATTATCATCAGTCAATTTTGGTTAATAGAAGGCATTTAAAATCATTGATCCTTGAACCATGAAACTTTAAAATTGCCATTTCTCATTACCTGAATTCAGAAGTGAGGTTTGGCTAACTCCTTTTTCTATTCTTCTTTGGAAGTTTTGAAGGACTTATCGTTAGAAAGTCATTAACTAGTACTAGCCAGTGATGTTTTCCCCAAGGCATGAGAAAAATACACATACTTTCATTTTTAGGATTCATGGCAAAATTTTACCTTGGGTTATGTACTAAATTCCTGGAAACCATTTCTCCCCCTTCTTCTCATGCACACTTATCTGCTAGTAGGTGTTGCAGTATCCCTGCTTGATGATTAATATTTTGAATAAAAATGATTCAATTGTGATATCTCTCAAGAACATTTACATTTTAACTGTGAAATTTTAAAAACAAAAAAATTCCTGCAGGCTCTCTGGGAAAGTTTTAATCATAGAATTGAAAAAAGTTAATATGATATTTTGGCATGCAAGTTGTTACTACCCTTAGCTCTATGAGAGACAAAAAACAAGTGTTTTTTACTCACTTGTTGTAAAATTGTTTATTTATGTGTTTGTTTATTTTTTATTTCTAATGGATATGTCAAGTCCTAAATCAAAGCTTCTGAAATCTGCACATACTTTAATTCTATGCCTAACTCTTAACATTTCTACTGAATACTGGAATAGCTTGCATACCTTTTAGCCAATCTTTCCCCAAATCCTCATAGTCGACATATTTTTGGAAGCCTAAGGCTAACGCAGATCATGTTGAGTGATTTATTATGACATAATCCTGAACAACCAAGTTGGACAAACAGAAAATGGAGTTTAAGTTCTGATAGGCATTTCACCTAATATATATGAATTCAGTGATATTTATTTGTAAAATGCGTCACCAAAATCCTTTAGTATCAGTACATGTGGACTATCACCTCTTCACACCTTTGGATAGATCCTTCCTATCTGTCTCGCTCACACATAATTCTGATTAAATAAATTATCCATCTCCAAATCCCTTAGGCTTAACTTTTAATATATTTCCACACTAGGTCTAACCTTCTCCTCGCTCCCAACATGTCAAAAACAAGTAATTTAGTTACTAAGACTTTTCTGTTTGTCTAAAGGCAAACTTATCAACCTTTATATAAAGGTGTATGTTATCTTGCTTTCTGCTTGATATACCATGGATATGTGGAAGAATCAAGATTAGACTTTTGTCGATTTGACTTGTTGATAATGAGATGTAGGAAAGGCAGTAAATGTATTTAAGAAAAAGAGCTTTAAAACATATTTAAGCTTACTAAAGCCTTTCAACAGAACATATTTAATTCTGGTAGTAAGAAAATGGATGGGATTTCATTGTAAAGCTGAGCAGAATCCAGCTTCTAATATGTCAGCTTTACATGACAGATTATTAATAAACTGCCACTGTTATCGCTTGATACCAATCTTTGGTGACTGCCTTTTTTTGAACTTGAAACTCAAATGTGTCTTTAAAAGTAATCTTACTTTGTGAACCATTATCTTCTTTGAAATTTGTTCTTTCTCTACTCTGTAAAAAATACTGTCAATTGTTTAAATTTCATTATACCAATATATTCCAAAAATTTACTAGAGTATGTGACTTCAGAGAAGTAGGGAGATTTTTTTTTTTAATTTGATGAAGACAAGGCAGAGTAATTAAGTAAATTAAGAAAATGGAATTACTTTAAACTTGCTACAAACCAAAATGAGAAAGATGGCACAATCAATTTTAACTAATATTCCGCCATGTGCATGTCTTTTTTTCATTTGTGCATCTATCCCTATGGTAGATACCCACTTTCTACTGTACATGCCTTGATTAAATCAACACACATTTGACATTGTTTGAATTAAGCCTTGTAATAGTGTTCGGAAATTAATAGTCTGAAGGGAATTTACAGTTCAGGACTCCTGGCAAAGTCTAACATTATCCTCTAGCTACAAAGGAGCCATCAACTACAAAGTTAGCTATGCTATATACTGCTTTGTATATAGCATCAAAATTTTAGTCACCTATCCTATCAGAGGAAAGGTGAAAGTTACTTTACAATAAATCCTAATTAGTCAGTTAAGAGACATAGTGTCGATGGTAATAACGTGCATATTATCAAAGAGACAGCAAAGCAAGTTGGAAAACCTATAGAACCATGGGAATGTGACTCATAGAGTTGCATGCAAGTAGAATATCATATTCTCTTTGTTGCTGGATGGCCAATGTCAAAAATACTGGGTTTATACTCTCTACCAGGTATTCTTTAGTACTTACTGAGCACTAATTAAATGTCACTTTACTGGTTCATTTTATACAAATAAGAGTGTTCTAATATTGAAATAAAGCTGAAATGTATGAAATATTAATCTGTAGGGTACTTGTGAAATATAAGAACCCTGATTTTGCTTCTTATGATTTGTATGACCTCACACAAGTCATTTATTTTCTCAACTCCTCCATTTGTTCAAAGATAAAATAAGACATGCATTGCAAAATTTAAATCTTTTCAAGCTTTCAAATTTGTTATTCTTAATGTATCAGTTCTGATACTTTGGGCCACCAGTAATAGGCAACTAATTTCCCTAAATTCTAAAGGATTATTTGTTTGTTTACAGGTATTTGAGCATTTGTATAGTTCTATGAATGATTAATTCTTACTGATGTCTTCAAAGACCTTTGTTATTTCCATCTTTGTTCTCTGTCTCCTGTCATAGGCTTATTCCTGGTCAGATTTCCCTCATTGTTAAAAGATGTCTGTCTGAGTTTCAGATTTCACATCCTCACACAGATACTTAGCAGAAGAAAGTGAACATTGTTTTCTTTGTCTTTTAAGATTAAGGAGGCTGCTTTGAGAAGTCCCACCTGACTACTACCAGAAAATGTTCTTTCATATTTAATTGATCAAATGTGTATTATGTCCCAGACTAAAAGAACAAATTACTGTTGACTTAGACCAATCATATTTACCCTCTGAATGTGTGAATGCCTCCTATTACTGCCTAAGTTGAAGACTACACAGAGAAAGAGGGAAAACTTAAAAAAAAAATCAAGTTTTCTTAAGAAAGAGGAATGGTTTTTCATCAGGAATCCTGTAGTGTATGCTGCACATAATATGCTTTCTTAATAACTGCATTCTTCCTAGTTGAATATTTCTGTTTCCCCTGAAGACAAAACAGATAAATTGTGGCTCTACATTAGAATACAAAGTCTCAAGGGGTATGCAAATACAATTCAATAGGTGATTGTCTACTAAGTAGACTATTCTATTGTTTACATTAGCATCCTTTCTCAATATGCTTAGTAACTCATTTTCAAAAAATAATTTCAAAGTGCAAAGAATAAAAATTTGGTCTGTTCCTAAGTTACATACCTCTTTTCCTAACTAACTGCATACTTTTTTCCATTTGCTTTCAGACTGCTGCCCTTACCCAAGTTGTTTCTCAAGCACACAACAGTTATCTCCCCAGCAATATCCTATCCTCTACTTCAGTCCTCCCTGTAACTCTCCTTTTTACCGTCTCAACACATATTTGACAGAAAAGGAGCCACCCCTCTTTTATCACTTCAAATTTTAGCTCATGTTCTATTGATAGACTTCACTTCCCCTAAAAGCATTTACTGAGTCTTCAGATGATCTGTTGTACTTTCATTTTCCCAATAGGCTTCAACCATGCTCCAATTGGATTAATTAGTTTATGTTTTTTATATCTGCTTAATGATCTTTCTCTGCATGGGCATTTTTAAGGGTAAAGTGGGTTTTTTGTGTCTTCTGTATTTGATAGCTAGCAAAAGGCATGATGTTTTGTGTGTAGGCTAGAGGGTGTGTGTGGACAATAGATGGTCTCAGAGTGATTAAAGAGACACAAACTAAGAACAGTTGGACTCATCTTCCATGATAAGGAAATGAGATACCTTAGAGAAATATTTCTCAAAATTTTCTGCAAATGTTTCCCTTCCCAAAATTTTTACCTATAGGGCATCATCAACAGAATATAAATAGTAATGGACCACTATAAATAACAAATGTGTTGCTAATCTTTTAAAAATATGCTAATTGTATATGATTT